ATTTACCTCCGTTTGAGAAGAATTGCCGCTCACAAGTACAAGTTTGCAATCAAGAAAATTATTTTATAATTTACATCGTGAGGCATCTTGATCTTCTCGAGAGATCGAGGCGCGTAATAAATTCCCCGTGGAATTTCCATCGATCTCTTTTCACTTTTCTTCTTCGTCTTCGTCTTCGTCTTCGTTAAAAATTCAACGACAAATTTGCCCGCCAGAGCGTTTGTAAATTAAAATAACTGACGTTGTCGTTCTCTTTCAGCTGTTTTTCATTCTGAGGAAGAAGAACCAACACGTGTCAACGCTTCATGTGATCCACCATGGGATAATGCCGTTCTCGGTTTGGATGGGCTTGAAATTCGCACCGGGTGGCCATAGCACTTTCTTCGCTCTCTTGAACACTTTCGTTCACATTATAATGTACTTCTACTACATGGTGGCTGCAATGGGTCCCGAATATCAGAAGTACATCTGGTGGAAAAAGTACCTGACTAGCTTGCAAATGGTAAAAGATCAACTATTAACATTAAACGACAATAATCCGAAATCCTTCGATTTTCTCTGCAGCTGGTCTAAGCCGGGGATCTCTTTCGCATTTCTCTTTTTCTTTTTTTTTTTTTCTTTTTTTAGGTGCAATTCGTGTTGATCATGAGTCACCAGTTCCAGCTACTATTCACCGAGTGCGATTATCCTCGTGGCTTCATGATCTGGATCGGTTTGCACGGCGTGCTTTTCTTAGGTCTTTTCTCGGACTTTTACAAAGCGAAATACGTGGACAGAAGCAAGAAACTAAAGGAGAAGAGTTTACAGAATGGCTCGACCGGTCTTTGTATGCCTATATTAGAGGATTCAGTGCCACGGCAAAACGGTGTCTCGTCGTACGCGACGATCTACAACAAGGAGTACAATAGTTGTTATAGCAACGGAACCAACAACGGCTACGTTGCCAACAATAACACGGAAAAGAAGATCGCTTAGAATAATTTGAGATTTTGGTAAAGGCTCGTAAAAAAAAAAAAAAAAAAAA